AAAAAAAAAAAAATAATAATAATAATTTACAGCTTGTTACAGCACGTAGGGACAGTATTTGATGCAGCACTTCTTGAGTGCTGACCTCATCTGTAGTAACAGCATCCAAGGCTCAAGCTGACCTTCAAGAAACATGTTTAAATCACAGTTCAATCACACACTCCTCCCTGCCTGAGCCTGCACAGCTTTTCAGCTTGAAGGGCCCTGTCCTTTCCCCTGGGCACTAAGCCAAACTCTCCTTCTCCAGGAAACCTTCCACGACTCCTGGCCACAAGGATGCCTTTCTTCTGGGAACTATGTGTAGGTACTCTGCTAGTACTTTACATATTACTGCTAATAATCTAAACAGCAGTTCTGATTATGCCTGTTTTACACATGAAGAAACTAAGATTCAGAGGCAATAAGTAGCCCAAGGTCACATAGTTTCATATTTAATTGCTGGCTTTATTAATGTTCTTGTTTATTTTCTAGGAATCTCAGCGAACATATATGCCCCTAAGGCTGGGGGCATGATTTATGTCTTTACCATAGGGCTGCTTCACCTGAGATTCACGTGAGGGAGCAGGGACTCTGTGAAATTGCACATACAATTTTGCATGTGTGTACATTTTTCTGGCAAGAATGTCTACAGCTTTCATCAGACTCTCCAAGTGGTCTATCACGGTTCTAATGTAAGCTTCCCAAACAAAAGTCAGTGTCACGAGCACAATAGCATATGACAACTTTCAGCTCTATATATTATTTAATGTACTCTGTATCTGCCTAAGCAAATTGAAAAAGAATCAAGAAAGAGACAAGATTTGGGAAGCCATCTCAGCATCTCAATGACAACTGAGCATCAGTGAAAGCGAGATGATAATAACCACCCTAGTGCCAGGCATGGTTCTAAGCATGCTGTAGGAATTTCCTTTAATTCTCATAACAACCCTAAGAGATACATCCTATAATTGCCTGCATTTCACAAATGAAGAAACCACGGCCCAGGGAGTTTAAGTGACTTGCCCCGGGCCACATAGCTAGAACGTGCAGAGCCGGGGTGCATACTTAAGTGGTCATGGCTCCAGAGCCTTCCTTCTAACCATGAGAGTTTGATATAAAAGTTTACTTTAATACTACAAGTAGAAAGCTCAGTATCTTCTTCCACCCTTGTCCACAAGCTATTAGCCCCCACCCCACTAAATGCCACGCAGAATGCAGACAAACAGACACACATGCACACATGAACTTACAATTTGTCTTCTCTGTCTCTGACCCCTTGGTAAATTTTTTGATCTGTTTGGAAAGGCTCTTTTCATCTCCCTCCTCTGAACATCCCAATTGTTTAACTTGAGTAATGGCTTTTCATTACTTTTAACAGATTAGGTTAAAACTATGATCAGGAAAGGAAGGATTTTAAAGTTTTAAAACTTAACTCTAAATAAGAACATAAGAGGGAATTTTAACTGGTTGTGCCATATGATTCTTGTTTAACTACTTGATATATTCATGGTTGTCTGTTTGTATCTTTCAGAGCACTTTACCTTCTGTTCTTAGTTGTTGAATTGCTTCAGAACAGGTCCTCATGAATATCTGAGCATCCTGGTCTATCTGGTCGCGTTCTGTGTCTGTCATCCTCCCATATTCAGACACGATATGGCTAAAGAGAGAGAGAAAAGGAAGAGGCAGCAGCAAATGACAACATAATATAGTTTGGGTGGGTGGGGAGGGAAGAAAAGGGCCCCTGATAAAGTGACATTTAAGCTGAGGCTTGAAGGATGAGGAAGAACTGGCCCAGCTAAGAGGTAGGAGAACGATCTAGATAGCAGAACCAACACATATGAAGGCCTAGACGCAACTGAAGCAGGTCCAGAGATAAGAGAGAAGGAGGGAGAGAGGGAGAGAGAGGGAAAGAGGGAGGGGCGTGGACGTGCTGTCAGGGACTGGAGCACACAAGGCTGGCTAAGAACACAGGCTCTGCCTTTGAGGACAATGGGACTCACACCACACAATGACCAAATTAGACTTGCACTAGAAGCTCACCCTGGGTGCTGCATGGAGAATAATGCAGGGACACAATCTGCAAGCTCTTGAGATGTGTGTAAGAAGCTGTTTTAGGCTGCCAGTTTTCAATGTTGACAAGTAGTCTTCAAAACTCACAATAAAAGAGCTTTTAGAAACAAATTTCATTTCTCTTAATACTAAGTTAAACAACTCTAAAGTTACCGAGCTAGTAAGGGTGTTCACTTTCAGTAAGATAGCACCTTGAAGCTCAAAATAGGACAGTTCTATGACCTTTCTCATCTTGATTTGAGAATCACATGCTACCAAGGCGAAAGAGACTTTCCATAACACACAGACTCAAACCATCCCATTTTCTCCCCCGAGCCTGGCTGGCCGCCTACTCTCACTGAGAATAAAATGCGAGGTCCTACATGCTCCCACACACATTCCCCCACCCCCTCACTTCCTGCCATAACCTCACTCCTGCCACACTGGCCTCCTTGCTGTCCCCCTGGTCAGCTGAGCACACTCCCGCCTCAGCCGAGACTGAGACTGCTCCCCCAGCAGATGTCCACTCTTTCCCTTCACTCCGCCTCTGCTAGGAGGCCCACTCAGGGCTGGCTTCCTCTGACTACCGCTGGCTTGCCCACCCCACGGCACTTGCCCGACACTGATTTCCAGCACCTGTGCTGCTTAGCAGGCGATTGTCTCTCCGCTCCAAAGCCGCCCTTCCCTGCTTTGTGACAGGGAGCTAGGCCTCTCCAAATCCTACTGTTACTCTGCTACTGTCTATTCCTTAATCTGCTTTCTTTTTCTTTATAGCACTTATTATTCCCTGAATAGTAAATATTTACATCTATCTCCTTCCAGTAGAATGTGAGCTTAATACAAGTAGGGACATTGTCTTGTTCGTTTCTGCTTCCCAGTGTCTAAAATGGTGACCAGCACACAGCAGGTGCACTAACATTAGCTGAGCACTCAGTACCTGTCAGATACTATAGAATTTCCAGTACCTTTATGTGTATTTTATTTACTTATTTTATCCTCGCCATTCATTCATTCACTCACGTATATACTGAACTCCTATATATCAGGCACAGGACCAGGGGTTGGGGATTCATAGTTGAATAAAGCTCATTTCTGATCCCCACAGAGGGAACTCACCACAGGGGAGACGGACACAGAGACAGGAGTACGAGGAACTGGGTGAATGCTATTGGTACAGAAGCCGACAGGGGACCCGAAGGTGGGTGGTCAGTCTGCGTAGGGGAGGTACCGGGCAGGCAGAGAAGAAGACGCTCCACACCAAGGACAGTGGCAGAAGAACAGGCACAAATTCCTAACCTGGGTGTCACGGTTCGAATGTCCCCATGATATGTGGTCCTCCCCAGGGGACACCTGGGAGCAAAGGGGGAAAGGAGTAACAGGCTGGTCCCATGCACACCGGGCAGCCTGGCTGCAGCCCCTGGGACTCACTGGAGTCCTCCAGGTCAGCATGTCGTGGACACGTGGTCAGTGTCTGCACTGCTTTTTAAATGAATGTGGATGTCTGAGTGGAAAAAACACCAACTGCTTTTCCTCCACTCTCACCCTACAACAATGAACACAGAAAACTTCTCTTACCAAATGTGTGCGGGATTGTCCCGCACACACCAAATAAGCAATCAGTGCTGCAGTGGACACCAGTTGGGTGGCCTCTAATTCGAACCAATCCTGACACCGCCTGCCTGGAGACAGTGTCAGCTCCCACAACACTGTCCCTGCTTTCCCTGCCACTAATTGCAAGCCCCAGGGTGTTTCACTTGGCTTGTGACTAACCGGCTAAAAAATCAGGGATCCCACGACCTCCTCCTCAGGTTTGATTAATGTGTTAAGACTGGCTCACAGAACTCAATAAACATAACTCACTTATATTTAGTGGTTTATTATAAAGGACATTACAAAGGATGAAGAGGCACACAGAGCAACATACAGGGAAGGGGCGTGGAGCTCCCACGTCTTCTCCGGCACACCATCCTCCAGAACCTCCACATGTTCAGCTATCGGGAAGTGCCTCAAACACCATCTTTCTGGGTTTTATGAAGGCTTCATTATTAGGCATGACAGATTACATCACTGGCCATAGGTGACCAAATTAACATTCATCCTCTCTCTTCTCCTTGAAGGTCAGGGGTGGGGCTGAAAGTCCTAGCCATCTAATCCTGCCTGGTCTTTGGGGTGACCAGCCCCATCCTGGAGCCATAACTCCTTAGTATAAAAAAGACATCACTTTGGAGAGTCCAGGGATTTTAGGAGTCGTATGCCAGGGAACTGGACTAAGATTAAATATGTGTTTCACAATATCACAGGATGGTATTATGATAAATACACATTTATCTAAAATTGTTACTGACCCTGTGATAGCTATCTCTCCAACACCAATAGGTTTTCCAAAAATATAATGATCATACAAAATACCAATATTTCATTATCAATTGGAATGAGGTTCTGGCAGTAATAAGTTGGGGATCACTGGTATAGTCAATGGGGACAGCAACTGGAGGATTTTAAACAGGAATGCACATTCTGCCTGTGTTTCTCTGGGGTGGGTGGCTGGGGGTAGATGAAACTAGACCCTAGGGGACTTCGACCACAGTTAAGAGACCTCTGCCAAAGTCCAGGAAGAGAAAAAGAGAGCCTGGGCCAAGGCAGTGTCTGTGAGGAGGGAGGGAACATGACTGAGAGACACCTATAGGTAACGGCCTGACCAGGTGGGCAGGTAAATGAGGAGAAGCCCAGGATGAGTTTCTGGTTTACATGCACGCACGTCAAGACACAGAACACAGAAGGCGGCATAGGTTTGAAAGGAAAGATGTTAAAACGCTGGGCCAAAGATGGCATGCAAAGTTTAGGGGACTACAGATGAGATGGAGCAACTGAAGAAGGGTCCAAACCCTTATTTTCCTCTGAAACTTTCAGAACAGCACAAGATATATAACGGGCATTTGAAACAGTCATTTTTGAAAAGGTTACGTATCTGGCAAATAATTTTAAAAAATCCTCATAGGACATGCATACATAAATTTATCAAATTTTATTTTTATTTCTTTTATAACTTACAGAAGAATACTTTTATTACAGATTTCAATTTATCTAAATATTAGATTCAATTAAAGAAGACTATGTTAGGTATAGGTTTGGATTTGTCAATTTACTTCAGGGAGAAAGGAAAAAACTGAGTAGTAAAGTTTATTCACTGGTTCAGAAATACTTATTTTTGTTATTTAGTTGATTAGTATATTGAGAAAGGGCAAAACATTACATTTCTCTATTAATTTAATATACAACTAGATACTTGCTGAGGACAGAGAAGAAGAGAGAGTAACAATGTTTCACATTCTGTGGTAAAGGTTACTGAAAAGGTACAGACAAAACTTACAGACTTCGATCTTATTTTTGCTATAAATATTAAATTAACAGACTGATTTCATAATGTATGTTGGGCATGTACTATGGGAAAGCATAGTACCATGTCCATTGTGTATGCCCAACATACATGTGCAATCCATCTGTCCAATGTGCATTAAACTGTTAATGCCTGGGCTGCAGATATGAACAAAATATAGACAAAGGCTAACAGTTATATAACACTTTCTATGCATTAACACTAATCACTGTTCTAAGCGTTTCATGTATATTTACCCACTTCTCAAAATTCTATGAGGTAGGTACTATTATGATACCTATTTTACACATCAAACAACTCAGGCACAGAGAGGTTAAGTAACTTGCCAAGGCCACATGGCCAATAACGAGCAAAGCTGGGATTTGAACCAAGGCAGCCTGCTCTGGAGGCCGGGCTGTTCTCTACCACCCTAGGGCACCTCTTATTTCCTAAAAGGCAGGAGGGTTCAGAAGAGAGGAGGCTTACTTCCCATGACTGACTGAGAGGACGGTGATCTATGAACTAAATCTTGAGAGGCAGGATGTGGCTGTGGGAGCAAGAGCAGATGCTCTGAGTAAGCAACAGTGGCAACGGGAAGGGGTCTGTCTGAAGAACACTGAGCAAAGGTAAGCAGAAGGCATGAGTCTATGTGGGCCTTCAGTGCCAAAGGAGTTTTATTCTGGAGCCAAGGGAAAGGCTAAGCTGGATGGAGATAAAGGCAGCCATACCGTGTCTCATGGACAGAGAGGGAAAGATCAGGTTCTGGGGTACTGAAATCAGGCAGAGCATCTTAGCTTGTTCACCTTTGCATTCCCCAGACCCATGTAACACGCAGGTGCTCAGCAAATTTTTGTTGAGCTGAAATTTAAGAAGGGGCAACGGGCAGAGCTTAGGTGGTGGCAGGGGAATGGAAAGTGGGGAGGGAGCTGTAAAACCGTCAGGAACAGCCAGGTGTTGGAGGCAAACCATCACCAGACCCTGGGACCTGGGCCTGGGCGAGCAAGAGGCATTAATAGAAACAAAGAACTCAGAAGGAAGAGTACAAAGAACTGGAAATATTAAAGAGAGAAATCACTATTAACACTTGCCCTTATAATGCAATTTAAAAGGACAAGAAGTAATGCTCTCAAGACAAATGTTCCATGACCAACACTTTGTTTTGAAAAAAGAAACCAGGGAAAATGGTCTTATAACTATTTTGTGATAAAATCTTGAGAAACTAAAAAGGATCG